ATGTTAAAAAAGTTATTATTTGCATTTAAATCAATGTTATTTTCTTACAGTTAATTTACTGTATATGTGTCAATGGTTTCATATTATGTACATGTGAAGGATTTTAATTGAAATACAATTTTGGTAACACTTTATTTTAGGGTCTCTTAACTAGTTGCTTATTAGCATGCATATTACTAGAATATTAGCCATTTATTAGTAGTAATTAAGCACATTAATGCCTTATTCTACATGACCTTATTCTACATCCCTAATCCTAGCCAATACCTAAACTTAACAACTACCTTACCAACTATTAATAAGCATCAAATTAGGAATTTATTGAGGGAAAAGTCGTAGTTAATAGTTGAATATGTGTTCCCTATTAAAGTGTTACCAAAATTTTTACTGATTATAGTCTGGTCATAGGTAAGTGATTCAAAACATTGACACCATTAAAAAAAATAATTTTATGACATGTTATTGTTAGATAAAACTAATTTTAAAAACTGGTAATAGAAATAAAATAAGTATTAGATTCAAATCTTAAGTGAAAGTAAAAATGCTGCATTGTCAACTATCTGAAATGAGTTCAAGTACTGAAATGATATAAACTAAAACTGAAATAATAATAAAATAACGATAAAAAAACAAACTAATAAAAATGACAAACGCATGTAACAAATACTAAATGAAAGAGAAAACAAACAAATTTAACCATATATTTAATTTGTGAAATAAAATAAAAAAGTCTTATTGTCCTTTGTTCCTAGTAGTAATCTCAGCTTTAATTGGAGAAAACTGAACTGAACATGAGTTGAACTGAGAAAATGTTAACATTGTCAAAAAAATCATAATATTTTGATAATGATCTGTATGCTGATATAACATTTACATACATGACCTGAACAATTAGATACATCAACCTCGACTACATCTTGGAGGGTATTTGCACTTGGTAAGACAGTTATCTGATTAGTATAAGTGCATGAAGTGACCAAGTGTAAACACGCATTCTGATCAATAGATATGACTCCTGTTATTCATTCAGTGCAAGGGGATTTTTATTATCTGGCAGGAGAAAAAAAAAGATTTGTGAATCTTGAATTTTCACAAATTAATAGAGTATTTAATTACAGTGACTCTTTCAAGTCTAAATATGTATCCTCAAGAATACCTCCCCTTAATTACCACCTGTCATCCAATTCAGATTTTTAGCTGCTGCAATAAAGAGAAGCCCAGACTACAGTCATGTGTGCAGCCCAAAATAACAAAACCAGCAAGGATAGAGTGGATACGATTTTGTTTTTCGCTAATTCCAGCACTGTTTGTTTCCTTCCGCTGTATTGGCAGTGGCCAGAACGCCGTCTGTCATGAAAAGCTGGGAAACTGGCAGCTAACCACAGGAAAACATAATCCCAGACGACTGTTCACCGGCAAGCTCATTACTTCCATTTTCTGTTATGTGGACAAAAATGTAGAACAAGTTTGTTGTGATCAAAGCAATTGCAATGTTAGACATCTCATTTGCAAGGTTGCGTTTCATCTTTGAGAGAAATCATCCTCAATAAGAAACCATTCCGGTTCATGTGGATCATATGCCAGAAATGCTGAGAATTGTCATGGCATATTTCTGCAGGTTGGCCCTCCCTCTCAATCAAAATCTGTCGATGGGAAATGCTCTTCAGGTGGACGTTGTTGAAGTGTAAAGTGGTCCAGAGTGGGAAACTAAGTGAGGGGTGTGTGTGTGTGTATGATTACAGGTTGAGTGAGGTTGTGTAGTGCTGTTCTTCAGCTGACGTGAACATATAGCAGCATGGCCTGAAGTTAATGGTAATAGATGGATAATCCTGCTACCTTTCTATTTTACATTCTCCACGCATTCTTTTTCACAATTTTTATCCATGTTTTAATTTAAACAGTATACCTTTGTTGTGCAGTACTTTGTTTGCCAAAAATGAAAAGAATTGTTCTAATTTCAGTTTATTACATTTTAAAAGATGAATAAAATAACATTTTTATTACCGTAGTTCATTTGATTACTTTTGATAATGCATTTGTATTAAATCATGAAACACAATTGGGAATAATTAAAACAGACAACAGAATTTCTGGGAAAAAAAACATTTTATAGGAAACTATTATTGTTAAAGTTTATTAAATTTGTAAATCGTTATTGAATTAGATGCCCTTTTGATGATTAAAATGTAATTAAACCAATTAAACTGAAATCCATAAAAAGTAAAAAAATAAAATAAAAAAAAAGTTAACTTAATACACAAGCATGAGAGCAAGTTTAAGTTTTCCTATTACCTAGTTGATTTTAGGTCAGTTTAAGTTCATTTAATTCACTTAACTTGTAGAATTAATTTGTCTTTATTAAACTATCTATGACCAAAACCGTATTTAGCATTTCGAACACGACTGACATCTCTTTTTTGCTGTAGAATGAGCATTGCACCAATGTGTTTGCTCTGTCCATAATTTCCTCCATCCTTACCAATGATAATCGATTCATAGCCTTCATGGGTAAAATAGCATAAGATAATAAAATTCATCATAATTGCAGAAGAGAAAAGCCCATCACTGATGACAGTGCTCTCTGCATTAGAGACTGAAGTCACGCATTGCTGGTACCAGTTTGGATAATTAAACACAGGCCTGGTTTAATCCCACTGATTCCTCTTGTCATATAAGAATACACGCACACAATTGGGAGGATGACATATGGCATTAAAGGGACAGTTCACCCAAAAATACAAATTCTGTCATTTACTCACCCTCAAGTTGCTCTAATCCTGTATGAGTTTCTGTTGAACATAAAAGAAGATATTTTGAAGAATGTATGTAACCAAACAGTTGCTGGTAGCCATTGGAGAGAAAAAAAATACTACAGAAGTTATTGGGTAGCAGAAACTGTTTGGTTACCAACATTCTTCAAAATATCATCATCTGTGTTTAGCAGAAGAAAGACATTTATTCCTTTAAGGTCTAACAAATGCACCCCTACATCATGGCCACCTGCAGCAGGAGCTCTTATGGGTGCCGTGGCTTATAGTGGTTAAGATATAGTGCCCTGAATCTGATGTTATTTTAGACAAATGCAATCAAAATTCAAGCCACTGGAGTTTTTTCCTCAGTCATCTTGCTGAGGGTAATTGGTTTAAGGGTAAGGTTGGTTGGTTGATTACTCTAGTATGTTTAATAATGGATGTCCTTGAACTCAAGATGCTCTCTGCAGAGTGGAGCTGAAGGCCACCTGCTAGGAGTCCATATGAGATTTGACTCTGGTTCTCATGGCCGCATTCATACGAGGCAGAATCAGCAGGGAGGTTCACTTTCAGAGGCGTGACACTATTGACTTGACACTTATCAGTGGGGAAGGTCCAAAAATTCAAAGGATAATGGAGAAAAGGACAATTTTGCTCCTGGTTTTTCTTTGTCTCACACAGTTTCAGGAAGTCACAGCCTTTGTAGTTTCACATAACAGGACATTTGACTATCACCATCAAATCTACTTCGCAGCTCATTCTGGTGAAAAATAGCTCCACTGAAATATGATAAGCTTAAATAGCGGCAATTTGGCGTAAAGCTGATTAAAGTTAAAAATGATCCAAAATCTAATTTTGGGCAAGTACATAAACAGCCAGTGTTCAAATCTATCTCCTTACCTTTGCCCGATTCACAACGGTAAGCTTGTAATAATGTTTTCTAATTTGAGTTGTACTGGTAGGTTTTTACGGGAAATACAAGCATGCGACTTTTGTCTTTGCGTCTTTACGTCACGTCTGTAAACATAAAGAAGGAGCCCCAGTAGGCTATATCGCATGTGAGGATGCTGCAGGTGGCGGATCATTAATAGCTTTTTCTCACAGCAGCTGAAATAATTAAACTTATCATTTTGATGGTGGATTGTAATCCAGAAAGGTCAATACGAAAATCATCAGTGACAACTGGAGATTCACCCATAGTCACCAGTAGTCTACAGGTAACACTAATACACACTAAATACACATAGTCACGCAATGCTGCTGCTGTTAACATTAACATTTTGAGAACTAAGTATAACAATAATAATCATTTGAATGGTTTGATGTGATATGAGCTAACCGATCGTTAGATTTAATCACCATTGGTAGTGTGATGTATTGCAATGCTTTTTTTTTCTCAATTGGTCAGAACAAAAGTGGCAGACATGTTACTTAGTTGTTCAGATGACATTTTCCGGTGAAAATTCTTATTTGGGTCATACTTCCAAGATGCAGAATATGTGATTCCTAAGTACAGTGAATATCCTGACAGCCACACATTTTCCTCAAAATATTAGATTCATCCGTGCCAATGCACAACCCACGTAAAGACGATAATTCTGCAAATAACTGCAATTGCAGGTTTCAAACATAACTTTTTCAGCTTTAACATAACGTAGTTGTCTTTCAAAACGACATAATTATCTTTCAAAACTTTAGGGTCGGTAAGATTTTTTTTTAATGAATCTCTTAAAGAAAAAAATTTAATATTGTGAAATATTTCAATTACAAAAAAAAACGGTTTTGTATTTTTAATATTTTAAGTGTAATATATTCCTGGGAAGGCAAAGCTGAGTTTTCATTTTCTTTACTCTAGCCTTCAGTATTACATTATTTTTCAGAATTCATTCTAATATACTGTAGCATAACTCAACATGAAATATACAATTCTGCTTGTTGATATAAAGTTCCTACTAAGTACCTCAAACAAAACACAGAATATTGAATTTGATGCAGCGGATCAGAAGTGCTCATTGCAGCCCAGTACCTTGTAAAAATGTGTGCAACCCTGATAGCAGCAGACCAATCAAATTCAAGTTAGAGCTTGTCACACTGAGAAAGCTCTTTGCCTTTTTGTGTACAATTGACATCAGATGGTCTCTGGAGGAGCGAAATATGGCTTAAACAGCTTGCTAATTGCTGTTGCATATGCTGTGGTCTGCCCTGGAGATGAACTGTTTTGTTGATGTTTTTATGTCTGTTTCCTCGCAGCTACGCTCGGCACTCTGGACTTCAGCCTTCTGTATGATCAGGAGAACAATGCCCTGCACTGCACTATCAACAAAGCCAAGGTAAGAACCGTCCTCAGGAACAAATGTGTGACAGATTCACATACACAAATCCAAATGCTCATTTTTGGCAGCACCTCCAGTATTTTGAAGCCAGTGGGCCGCTTCATAAAACTCCTTCCTTCTGCTAGTCTGTCTTTTATAGGGTCTATAAAGTTCTATAAAGTGAACGATTTTGCCCGGTCCTCTTTGTAATAGGAATGTTGTGCTCCAGGGGGATCCCTTTGGCCTGCGTGTGCCTGTGTGCTCTTTTCTCTGTTGTCATGTGGGAGGCATTTCCCCTGACAACAGACTGCTGCTAGCATCTGCTGCTGTCTGTTTTGCTTAGTATTCAGTCTAGACCGGCTTTGTCCCTCCAGCAGTATGCTACAAGCAATCTCTCTCTCACTCTCTCTCATCTTTTCTTCCTGTTTCTAATGCTGTTTCTCACACTCTACCTCTGTACCTTTGTTGCCTCGAGTATAAAACACTGCAATGAAAGTGCAACACTTCAGTAGTTTCATTTTATTTATTTATTTTTTGCTCTTTATTCTCAAATGTTTCTGTTTCAAGAGGATCTGTTGCAGGAAGAACAACTCCTGTGATTTCTCAAATTTTCATAATTAATATTGAATAGTGATGCCTTCTATAATTTAAGTGAACTACGTAGAGCTGGTATTTACATTTAAATGAAGAGTTTATCCAAGAATGACATTTCAGAAGCTTTTTTAATAGCTTTGTGTGAGAGAAACCTTAAAATGTCAAGATTAGAAATGAAGATGTTTGAAAATTTTGTCTTGTTAATATTCAGAAGTTTTCAGAAGTATTACTTTTTCTGTGCCACTTTAGTGGTTTTTCTGCATCATTTGAAAGCTTCAGTCCTTATTCATTGTAATTATGCGGAAAGGAGCAACCAGTGCATTAATTACCACAATATATTATAGTAATATTCTAATATGATAGCCACAGGTGATGGGAATGCAGTGGAGTTTGAAATGGTGTTATTTAGTGTATTATTTATATACTGTTATAGTTTTATTAATGTTTTGAATTAGCTTTTAGTTTAATATTTTTAGCTTTCATTTTAACTTTAGTTAAATTTTGTCATTTTGTTATGTGCTTTTGATATTTTTTTAAATATGTTTGAAAATATATAAGTCTTGGTTTGATTTATTTCACTTTCTGTTTTAGTTCTGTTTTAATCATTTTAGTGATTCAAACTTATTTCAGTTATTTGCAAAGGCATGATTTCTCATATTTTTCAGTGAACAAAAATGTTTTTAAAAGTTTTAGTCTTAGCTAATGATAAAATGATATAATGAAGGTGATTAGGATGATTAGTGCTCTGGTTGATTAGTGAAGTAAAGTAGTATGATTTATTAGATATGTATTTTTTAGCATAGTGCTTTTAAGGTTTTTTAGACTTGAAATCTGTGACTGTGAGAAATTCTCATTATTGTGCATATTCCCTAGCTCTCTCTTTCTCTCTATTTTTTTTTGCATTGAAAGGTTACGTTTATTTAACCTATTGAATGTCTGTCAGTTGCCTTACTGAAGGGCTGTGATGCATGCATATATCACTAAAAATGTGTCTGGTGGATTTGAACCTAAACCAACCTAATTATACAGGGCTTCACTAAAGTCAATTCTTCAGTCCATGTTATTTCAAAGAAAAAGAGCATTTCTCACAGCGAGATAATCAACAGATTGTACTATAATTGCTCTCTTTGGTCGGTGTAATCGCTATAACAGCAATGCAAGAGAGAAGGATTTCCACCTAAATCTAGTCAGTGTCTCTTCAGCTACAAAATTCACTGCATGAGCAGCTGTGCATCTTTTTGGCGGAGGCCTCTCTCTCTCAGAGGTGTGCTGATGCCTGTGGGACGAGAGCCACTGATTTGGGTCTCTGGGTCTCTCTCTCACTCTTTCTTGTTTTCTCTCATTTTATCTAACACTAAGCACTCAAATGTCACCTTTGATGACATCTAATCACTCTGTAAAGCAAACACCTGCCTGCACATCCAATTTTCTTTCCTGTTCTAGTACTTTGTTACACTTTCAATTATGACATAATGCTCAGACAATCAACCTAGCCTGTGCTTGGTTTGAAAATCATATTGATGAATCATGAAAGACACAGAGTGGAGATTTATTCACACATTAGTTAGAAACCAGTGCAGTTATCGATTCACAGATAGTTAAGCCATAGTCAAACTAAATTACGCATTTTAAAATATTTCACTATACGAGTCATTTTATTTTACAATAGCAAAATAAATCACAATACAGTTATTGTTATTTTATTTTATCTTCGATGCAAATTATAAACAATAAGACAAATAGAATAAATCAAAGATACAAATGACATAAACAGTGCTTTGAAGGGATAGTTCACCCAAAGAGGAAAATTCTGTCATCATTTACTCACCCTCATGTTACAAACCTCTATGAATGTCTTTCTTCTGTTGAACACAAAAGAAGATATTTTGATTGTTGGTTACCAAACAGTTGATGGTAGCCATTGACTTCTATAGTGTTTTTTTTTACTATGGAAGTCACTGGCTACTGTCAACTGTTTGGTTACCGGCATTCAAAATATCTTCTTTTGGGTGAACTTTCCTTTTAAGTTTTTCAAGTACAACAGATCTATTTAAAACTAGCATTCATGTGAGAAATAATACAAACATTTAATAATTTGCATCTTATTGAGCGTCAAACACAATGTTTATTTTTTCATTCACGCTTGTAAAAGACTGGGTGCCTTGAAATGAACCAAAGGCAATTAAAAACAGCATTTCTATATTGTCATACTTCAAAAAGAAATGAACTATTATGATCTGGTTTTTAATTAATCGCTTAAAAAGACACACAAATCAGTCCTGAACTTGGCTTAGCCACTTACTCATTCACTAAATTGTCAGTTCTTAACTTAATTACTAAACCTCATCCTTTCAAAAAAAAAAATTTTAGACCAGTAATTCATCTTGTTCTACAGTAAAAATATCTAAACATCCTTAAAACAAGATGCATTACATGGTAAGCTAAATTGCATAAAATATTGAGGCCTAAAATATGAGTTCCGTTTAATGAGGTCTTTTTATATATGCTTCTTTAGAAGAATCATTAAGGATCCACAATCATTAAGTGAAATTAGAGGCAGAATGGTTAAATTCCCATCCCTCTTAAAAAAAAGAGGCTAATCATAAGTCTGTTTTGTCGCCTGTGGGATCTGTTCTTTGTGTCAGTGACAAAACCCTTCATAAAGGTAAATAAAAAGGGCAGCAGTCATTGCTGGCAAGCATAGATATCCTCTGGAGAAACAGAAGCCTCCTTGTATTTCTCTCCTCATTTTACGCCTCAGATTAACACTGCTATTGAAATCAGCTCATATGGAGCAGAAGTGAGAGGCACTAAATATGTGATTGCCAACTGTACTGTATATGGCATTATGTGATTTTATAGGATGCCATGTTGTGAAGACGCTGTGTGTTTCGTTGCGAAAGTGAAACTTCTTTCACAAACAATAAAAAATCTTACCGACTACAAACTTTGAACTGTAGTGTTAAGTGGAATTAAAGCATAGTGGTAAAGTATTAAACTTTAATATGCATGTAACTAACCCTGCATTGATTTCTGGCTTTTGCACAGACAAAAATAAACTAGCTATTAATGATGCGATATGTGTCATTTCCTTTTATTTCGACCCTGTGTGAAATGAGCACACAGGTGAACACATAAAATTAATTTGTAATATTGATATTGTTGCTGCATCAACTGTTTTCTGAAACCCTTTGGGAAATAATTGGGAAATTACAGAGGAATATGAACAACCTTGTATTCGTTGTTACTGTGCCAATATTCACTGTTTACAAATTATGCTCCAGGTAATTGCTTTTTGTTCCTTGCTTGAAAAAAACAAAAAACACTCTGCTACTTTATTGTACCACGGAACTACAACACATGCATTTTACATCCGGGAAGACAGCATTTTTGGATTGTGGCCACATCTAGGGTTCTCCGATCAGGATTTTTGAGGCCGATCGCCGATCACAGAAAGCAGTATCTGCCGATACGATCACATATACCGATCTTTTTAAAGCCTTCTGTTTATCATGTAAAATTATTTATAGTGCTGATCCAATCAAGGTTTTTTCAGACATTTATCCAGGGCCTGAATTTAATTTTTGAAAATGAATTCCCCACTTAGGTGACTCTTGTGAGAGGGGATTTTTAAATTTGAGGGGTGGTGGGGGGCATTTTTTAGAACTTTTTCAAAAATCACTTAAATATTTGATAATGCACTGCATTTTTGTTTTGACAATTGTACAATTGTTGCACAATAGCTTACACACAGCACAAGCCTGATTTCGAGAGCTATATGTGAGGTGGCCTTTTACACCAGGTTCACACATACTCCGTTTGCAAGTGCGTATGCAGTCCATGTGTGGTACTTAAGTGGTGCAGAAGCAGCTTTCACACAGGAGTCTGCTCCTGATCCATGGCTGTTTACTACAAACACAACATGTATCCATTATTTTGATTTCAAATCCAAACATTGTTACTTAAAATGCTTTTTCAGCATTGTGATTCTTTTTTT